TTTGCGTTGAATTTTCATCGATGTTAAGCCTAACAAAATTTTTTTTAAATAATAATCGTCGCTATTGTACCGTTAAAAATTAGAAAATTAAGCCTCGTTTAAATACTGGATCCCTTTCATGGTCGAATGAGTGTTGCCAGCTAAAACACGTAAAAATAATATTAAAGTAGCCAAGACATAGCCAAATATTGTAGCGCCACATCACTAGTGGACATTTGAAATTTACCGACTAGGACGGTCAGTTAACCGAGCTGTCGGTTAATCGGGGGTCGGATAATCGAGGCTCTACTGTAGAATCGTTCTTAGATTATGTACAAAAGTTTTGAATAGTAGTGATTATAATATCAAACATATCATTATTTCTTTACTTTACAATAATTCAAATAACATATGGATTTTTCACATATCCATAAAAGATCTACTGTATTGAAGTCACAAAAATAATATTTTCTGTTTTATTTCTATTGACCTTGAAACCTCCAATTTTCAAGGCCAATGGAAATATAACAGCAATTATATGAACAATAATACCCTATCTACAGCCTGAAGAGCCCTATATAAAATCCAATAATGTTACAAAGCTTTGGGTACATCAACTATACAACACCCAATCAGATGGCATTTTAAAGAATTAAAATTTTACATTGGATTGCACGTGTTATATTCAAATTTTTTAAAAACCTGAAGTTAGTTGTTTTAAAATGACTAAATAAAAACAAACATTTTCAAAGTAAAAGTTAAGGTTATAAACTGATGGATTTTTGGATTTTTCAGCGTGTTTAATTTAATGACATCCAGTTTAAGGAGATAATTATTAATGTTAATGTAAAAATATTGAGACTAACATTGAAATTCCTGAATCAGTCTGATCACTTTGGAAATTAATAAAGTAAAAAAGTAAAAACTTATCAAATAAATTATTGTCTTCTCTTTAAAAAAATCTTGATAAATTTATCTTATAAGAATGATTTTATCCTTACTTTAGATTGCCATACTAAACGATATGGATATTTCCATTCCAAACGTTCCATCACTCGTAAAACTGTTGATGCTACCTCTATAGAATATGTATCACCTCTATTTACAGCCTAGAAATAAAATTAATAATTAATAAAGCATTCATCAAAATAAATTGAAGATACTATATTTTACAGCATATAAGCAGAACTCTAGGATACAGAGCAGAAACAATAACAGGATGTCATTTCAGCACAGAATATTTACGAAATATTTAGTGGGTTGGATTGATGGAATAATGCAATGCCAAATTGCATTGGGCAATTTGCCAAAACGGTGCCTCCTGGAAGGACTTTCTATGGAAAATTGGTCCCTATTTAAGTGTTAAAAATATGAAAAAACCCAGAAAACTCTACATGGCCTGCCTTTGGTGAGACACAAACCTGCAACCAATAGCCAGTGTTTAAAAGTATTTAGTGTATTTAAACCATCATATGTCTTTGGCATTTGCTCCAATTTTTTTTAGTATATTAGAATACACTAAAAAATTTAATATATTTAAAAGAGAAGAATTTAAAAGTCATTTACAATTAAAATTTACCATTAAAATACTCTTCTACAAGAATACATACAAAGACTGCATACCTATAGCAAAAAATAATAATAATAATAATATTGTTTAATTAATAAACAATAATTATTTTCAAGAGCTGGACTAGATTGAGGTTACCTGTAGCCTACTAAAGGCTGTTTGAAAATTCATTAGCCTAAGGGTGATCACAATTTCACACAAGATACAGGGCAAGTTTTGAGCCAATTTTTTTTTTTCGGACGAAAGTTGCATCTTATATGCCATAAAATATGGTAAAATTAATTATACAGTTTTTCTACAAATTTAATAATTTTAATTTGTTACAAAAATTTTCCAAAATTTAAAATTTACTTTCATTGGAGAAGAATGAGCTGAGAATAATAAAACCACATTCTCTCTTGCATCTTTTGGAAATTTTTCTAATTCTGTACAAATAAGCTGAGAAAACACCTGAAAATATTTATAATTAAATTAAAATCATTACAAAACTTTGTTTATTCAAAATATTTTCTTACTTCTACTAGACCCAAATTCATTGGCCAGCGATCAATAAAACTCCATTTTACTTTTGATAAAAAATTTTTACTGTGATAATAGCGATACATTGCATTCAAGCTACTACCACTAGTGCTGCAACTATATTGAGGATATTGAGAAAATGCTACCATTCTCATAGGACCTTCTCTGTAAAACATATAACAGTTAATTTTTTGACACAATTATTTCAATTTTTATTATTTCAATTTAAAATTATTTATTAAGTACCAGTTTAGAATATAAAAATTTAGTTTTTATATGTAATCTCTTTATTTACAGCATTATTTTTCCTGTTTGATACATCAAAACATAAATAAAAAAACTCTGAAATTAAAAACAGATATATAATATTTTATTTATGATGTTACTATTAAAAATAAAAATAAGAAAAAAATAATAATATTCTTTTTTTATATAATATATCTAAAACTGCTTCTAAATATCTACTGTGCAAAAAATAAAAGATAATATTAAGTATAAATAAATTACTAAATTGTTGGGCTAATATAGGGGTTATTCAAATATGGCATCCACACTGAAGAGTGAAATATGTACAAATTTGGTGACAGATTGTGACAGACCTCCTGTCATAGTAAAATGATAATATCTTAAAGATTCTCAAAAATTAACCCATTTGAAATAATTTTTTTACCAAAATCACTATGCAAAAGAATTTTGACCAAACAGCACAGCAAGTTCTTGTTTATTCAAAATAGTTATACTTTACTAGAAATGCTATACTAAGTATGCTCTGTTGGAAATGCTCTAGTAGAACTTTTAATATAAAAGATAATGGTACAATTTTACCTATATTCTTTATCTGTAATCTGTACCTGTATAGATTACAGATAAAGATACAGTATTACCAAAAGATATATCAGTATATAACATATTATCTTTAGCTAAGAGTTACTTAGTACAGTGTAGGGCCAGTAATCTGCAAATTCGCTTAAGCTGTGCAAAAAGCTTGTATCCCAATTTGGCCTCTCAAACACTCGAGACAGGTGTTGACAACTGTCATTTTGGCATTTTGAATGTCCATCATTGATGTGCTATGCACTATCGCAAATTAAGTATTTAAATGCTGGCTTATAACTTCAAAGAAGTATTATAACTTCAAAGAAGTATTTATAGAAAATTAGTCTTTTATTTATCAATAAACAATAAAATAACTTACAATGAAATTCAAATACAGTATTAATCTGTTTTATCTACGCCGAGTATCAGCATTATGGAGGCCGCCACTGTAACCGATTCACACCATACAATGATACAAAGTTAATCCGTGGTAAATCCACAAAAAATCGACTCATATTTAAAGTGTAAAATAAAATGTTTTAAATGTATTTGATATGTTTTGTTATTCTTAAATAATAATTTATTATTCATTTCAAGACTGTTAATCAAAAAACATTAATTTTTTCATTATTTATTGTAATTTATGCATTATCAAAAAATATTTAAGCCGTGGACCACCTAAGCTGTGGTTAAGCAGTTTGGACTCCAATCACCACTGCTTAATGACCCTACATTGTACAATGTCATCAGACTCTTCTGTGGTAAATCAATAAATTTTGTTTTTGTTTTTTCTAGTATCTATTTTTAAAATTAGCCTTCCCTTGGCAGGAAATATGAATAAATTAATGTACTGTAGATCTGTTTTACAGAAATATTTAATTTTAATACCAGACCTAGTGTGATATCAGCATTGAGGTGTCTAAAAATTAGTGACAAAAAGTAGAAGAGAGGAAGTAGTCAAAAAAAGACTTAAAACTGGTGACATCATATTTGAATAATCATATATCACTGGTCACTTCTAAAGAACCAAATTTCATAAATATTTTTTATAATAAAATACAATAATTTTATATTATTATTTTGAAATAAGAAATAAATTTTATAACTATTGATGAGTAATGATATAATAATAATGAACAGTGTTACATTAACTTCTTCAAGTAATAATATATTCATTACCATTTTTCATAACATAATAAGGAGAAACAGAATTTTTTTGATAAATATGTTATTATAGAGAAATTGGCATAATAAATGATACAAGTCTCTTTATTATAAAATTTTATAAAAAAATTCATATTCATTACTGGATATTGTTTTGTTCTAACCTTCGATTATTCATAAGTTCTGCATTTTACCAACTTCAGTTTTATCAATTGAAGAATTTTCTTGAACTGTTTGTTTTGTTAAGTTACAGCAATGCAACACTTCGGGCTATCTGCATACTGGGATACCTTCCAGGAGGTCTTTTTAAATTAAAGGTAACTGACCTCTATTCAGGTGCAGAGATGTGGAGAAAACCTGGAAAACTCCATGTGGTCAGTATGTCCTGGCAAGGCAAGAACCCATTTCCTGATATTCAGGAAATGGAACCTCATGGCCACTGATGGGCCTTTCTTAAACTGATTGATGAAGGATACCTAAATGGTATTTTTACTTGTAACACCAAAGTAAACCACTGCCATATGCTATCAGGCTAATATTATAGCTGTTATTAGCCCAACAGCATATGGCAGTGGTTGGCTTTGGTATTACAATGTATCAGGTTTAGTAGAACTGTTTGTTTACTTGTGATAGGCATTGCACCTAAAAGTTGGAATAGTTGGTTTTATAAACAAAAAGTTTACAATTTATAAGTTAGTCCATCACCCCTGTAACTTATAAATGCTTATATTTTGTATAATCATCATTGTTTTATTACTTGTAGTTTGAGTCAAATATGTGACTTCTTGTAAGACTTATAGCTTATAATTTTTATGCAATGGAGCCCAGATGGCTAAGATAATAAAAGTATCAGCTTGTTACTTTAGGTTTGAGTCAGGATGGGAGCCTCAAATTTTCATGGATGGTTTATGCCTTGGACATGCCAATTCTGTCTATCACCACCATCTGACCATGCCCATTATGAGCATGGTTGCCTCATGGTGAAGAGTTGTGTAAAGTATTTTTTTTTATATTATTATTAACAAGATGTATTAAATTCCGTAAGCCTGAAAAATATCAAACTATTTAAATTCAAAATATTCCAAAATCATAGGTCAAACAATTTATGTACAGTCAACCCCCTATATCACGGCGAAAAAATTGCAACAGTATTTGTACAAACATGCTAAAAAAACGCCTATAATTCTGTAAAACATCATCACTGACTCTTGTCTCGAAATTATTGGTCGATATTGCACAAACCATTGAGTTTAAACGAGCAGTGGTCCTACTAAAAACCATTTATAATTTAACGTCCATAAAAATTATATTTATATTAATGTTGTCTCCAAGTTCAGTGAATTTTTCGCAAAAAAAAATAATTTATCAGGAAGCACGTGAGCACCATTCAATGACAATCTCTACGACAAAAACAAGCTTAAGCAATGGTGTAGTCGAATGGTGCACGCTCGGTAAGTAATCCTACAATTATTTGTTTATAGCATAGTTTATATGGATTATTCCCAAAAAATTATATGTATTTTGGAAATGTTGAGTTGAATTAGTCTAGAATCAATTAATTTTATGGAAGAAACCTTTCAAACAGCCATAGTCCGTAATGTAGTGCTCCGCCACTTATTGGTTGTTGTTAGTAATGTATGTGAATATTATTTGTATAGTTAATATTCTTTGTACTTAGCATAAGTTTATTATGTCACACTGTATTGGGTTTTCTTTGTGTTTGTCGTCCGTTTGGACATGTGTCCTCCTTACTTTGTACCTCCCTCCTTTGTGTAAAACCGGACCTCTGGATTGGCTACCCAAGAGGTTACATGAGGGTAGCAAGCCAGGGTATAAATAGCAGGTCCACGTGTGAGAAGACACCTTTTTTTCTTTCCTTTGGAGGAGTTCCATTTGTGAGAGTTTTTGATCAGCGCCATCGAGGAAAGTCGGAACCAACCAGAGTGAGAAGGAAGATTCGTTCGAACATCGAGAAAAGGGAGATAGAACCAAATCTCAAGTGTGGTATACATGGAAAGAATAGCGTGGACAGAACAATTAAGGAAGATAGAGTACCCGAGGTATCGATGGAAGCGAAGATTTTCCCCACGTGCAATAGCTGTTGGTCCTATTTCTGATTGTTTAAGTGCCAGATTTCCAGTGAGTAGACTGTTATGAAAATTCTTTATGTGTTATTGTAAACGAGTACGAACCTTGTTATGCTACACGAATAAGGGAGAAGGAGAGTGAAGGGATGAGGGATATTTGTATTCGGGACACGTGACTGTGTAATGAGAATTTTTTTCTGAGAGTTCACGAGCCCTCAGTAGTTGATCACTGAACCCTTATTGAATAAAGAGATATTTTGTAAGCTGACTAATTGTGTGTGTTAACCTGATAGGCCTCGGTCTAGTCAGAGACCAAATCAGTAAACTGCATACGTGCCGGGCTGTGATTGGCTGGACTTGTAGAAAATGGATTCATAAAAACTGGAACGTATCTACCGTGTTATAAGAGGGTCAATTGTATATGCACCAGAAAAAAACAATTTTTCAGGTGCAAAAAAGTTTAAAAGCTGCGAACTGTACAGTATATATTCTCACACTTATTAGAGTTCTGATTATCTCATGCAAACTTATTTATTTGTATCAAGTTTGATGTATAAATTTATTTAGTACACCGTTATCAGCATGATTCAACAGATCATAAGACACGCTACATTATAAACAGCAGATAAATATTAAATTTCTCAACTAAATAAAATCTTTATTAAATTATTCAAGACGTTCAATAAAGCTTATAACAATCTAACCATGTTACAAACTTAAATGTAAAGTGGCATAAGTGCTTAAAGAAAAGCACAAATCAAATGACAATATATATTGGGAAGATTAGAAAAGTTTGAGGCATTACAAATTCATTCTCATATGTTGGAATCTCAATATTGTGAACTGTCACATTCTCATCTATCTTTGTGAATTGAAGAAATGAAAATAATCTCATTTGTTTATTAGGGACAAATTCATAACTAAATTTATATATTATAACAATGTCTTCTTGCATTGACTTCCATTCTTAATAAATGAATGCTTAGCACAGTATGAGATTTGTGTTCATCCCAATCTTCTTACTTTCTTGTTGTAAACTTCTGCAAATTTTTGTGTTGGAAAATTGAAATATGTAATAAGTTATTGATTCCATTAAATAGAAGAGAGTAATTTCAGAAATGTTTTGTTAAGTGATACAGTGATTACTATAGATAACTATTAAAATATGTAGCAGTATGCCATATATTATGTATATTGTATAAATTTTATCATATTTTATTCTAATCTTTCATTGTCCCTTTTGTTCTTGCATACTTTTTGTTTCCTTATTCCGAAAATTTTTGACCAAACCAGTGGTGTGCCATCATTGGAAGCGATGGATGCGCCGCTTCCCATGTATTTTCTAAAAAATAAATACATATTAATTTTAATTATATGAAAATAATTGCACAATATTTTATTATAACCGCATTATGTATCTTATTACAAATTTCTATATTACATGTGAGAAAAAAAGATAAGATCGCTATTGTATATTAGAATATTAGTGGTGGAGTGGAAGCACTGTATTGTCAGCATCCAAAAAGCCAGATTCGCGCATGCGCTTTATAGAGCACCAACCTCACCCGGTTTAGCTGGTGGAGGCCTAGGACCTTGGGTGGATGCTGCACATATACCGTATCCAATTCTATCCAGGATCAGTTCTGGGCTGTTAGCCACCTGCCTGCTAGATATTTGGCTGCCCTCGCCCGATTATGTGAATCAGAGTAGATTTATAACTTAACCCAACTGATAGGAATTTACTGGTATGTTTTTATAATAGTTCTGTATAGTTGACAGAAGTTAAAAAAAATCCATTAAAATATTTGATATATTTATTCTGCTTTCCGATTTTATATTACTCACGGATTTCAATATTAAACCAGTGATATTACGATTTCATATGTCTCATCTATAAGGGATGTAGAAAAAAACATGTACAATTCTTGTATAATGTTAAAAAATTAACTGTTACTTTGACAGCATCATTTACAACTAAATTTAATGAATAAGAGGATGCACGAGGTACAGAAAAAGCTCTAGAATTTATATTTCTTAAATTTACGATTTATGTATCTGTTTTCATAAAAATTTGTCTTTCCACTTTTTTCCCGAGACTACAAATTTTTTAGCACAAAGTAACCGGTTTCGACTTATTTCTACTTAAGAAGTAGTTAAATAATTAAGCGATTAGGGAATTGGGGACATAAACAAAACCCTGACGAAAGAGCCGGAATATTACTTAAACAAAAGCTTAACCGAACCAATCTATAGCCGAGTACAGTGGGGACTGATTTCTTCGAAATACTGTATTAGATGTAATAAAGACAGA